CAGAGGCTCCTCTGCACACACCAAGTCCCTGACCCCCCTTTCACCCCTCACAAGATAAAGAGGCTGCCAGGACCCCACCAGCTGCCACTGAAAGACAAAAGATGGGGGGCAACGAAGAAGCCCGGACTCTTCCACAAGCCAAACACTAGCTTTGTCCTCCGTTGCCAAAGGCACAAGAAAAGCAAGGGGGTTCAATTCCCAGGCCTGTCTGGACCTAGGTACGTGACCCTGGGACAAGTCTCTTCCCCACCAGAGAAGCAGGGATGTTAAGACCTACTGGAGAGACCTTGGTCAGGGCTTGATGGGGTGTGAGCCTGGCCAGGGAGCAATCCTTCCAGGCCTTCTCAGCCCTCCCCCTCTGTCAGGGCACCCCCCACTCGCAGTCAGTCCTGAAGCTGGAGTCCTCAGGGCGTGCAGTAAGGAGGGGCCCCAACCCAAAGAAAGTGGGGGCTGCGGAGGGGGGGGTCTGAACTTTCGAACTCGCAAACCCCCCGCGCTGTTCATTACCTTAACACGAGTTAAAAATAACCGTCTCATCTCTTTAAATTAGTCTGTCTGCAATTACCGCCTGGCACGGCGCTGCCCGCCATCGTCCCGCTGGAGCGGCGCCAGGTGGCAGGCGGGGCCTTCACCCTGTCTGTCGGTCTGTCTGCCTGCCTGCCTCCTGGTCTCCCCTTTCCCTCGCGGCACAACTACCCCAGGGGCCTCCCGGCTGTCTGGCCTCCTGGGTCCCCAAAGTTGTGCAGGGAGGCGGCCAGGGCCATGGACCCCCAAGGAGCCAGGCTGGGTCCTCCGAGAGCAGAGGACTGTGCTGGGGGCTACGGAGAATGGTGGGGGAGGGGCGCCGGGAGGCCCGGGAAGCCGGAAGGGCCCGCAGCGCGCCAGCGCTCGTGGGTGGGTGTGAGCAGGTGGCCGTGGGAGTCTGCCGGGCGTGCCAGCAACTGTGCCAGGAGCGGCTGGCACGAGCTCGTGCCCAGGAGGCGGGCAGCTGCCAGCCCCCCGCTCGTGCAGTGCGGGGGGTGAGGACACCCCCCAACCCGGGCTCACACCGCCTCCTCCCGCACCCCCACCAGCCTTTGGGGCTGGGGATCCCCGGAGGACAAAGGAGGAGGGAGCCCTGCTGGAGCAGGCTCGGGGGAGGAAAAAGGGGGAGCCCCCTACACTCACAGCCACTGCTCAGCCTGGGCTATATAGCAGTAAGACCCTCTTCCTGATAACTCAGATGGGCCCTTCCCTGGGAGCCCCCACCCCATTAGGACCTATTAGTCAGCATGGACCAGATGGGGGTGCCATCACCCCTCCTGATTCAGTTCCTCAAAATAACCAGGCTGCTCCAGGCCCTTAGGGAGAAGGAAAGTCCCCATCCACTGTGCTCCTCCCCCACCAGGCCTGGGGACAGGAATGGAGGCGCCCGGGCCTGGCCTGGGCTCCCAAGAGAACTGGCAGCCAGGAAACACAAAAGCAGGCAGAACAACTCAAGGGGCACCAAGTGGAAGGAGTGCCAGGACTCAGAGCAGCCTGGAAGACTTCCCGGAGGAGTCTCCAGCTAGGGAAGGTGGGGCCGGCTGAGGCAGCTGAGAGGAAATGGAAGGCTTTAATTGGACGTCAGCTATACAGACTTCTCTGACACCGCAGAGGAGGAGGGCCTATTGGAGCCCGAGTCCAGCCTGGAGAACCTCAGCCCAAAGGGGATATAACCAGCCTCGATGGTGGGGCTGTACCAGTACCAAGTGCCAAGCCCAGTACCAAGCCCGGTCTCCAGGTTTCAGCCTGATGGGCGTCCTGCACCTGCTGCTGTTCTCCCCTCCTCGAGTCCTCTCCACAACACCCTGACACTATCTTCCACATCACAGGTGGGACTCCAGGACAAAGGTCAAGCACGTGGGCCCTGCTGACCCCTCCCACTGCACTTCCTGCCATCCCTAGAAGCCTTTGGCTCCAGCCTGGCACACTTGTCTCCCAAACCCAACACACATGGTTCTACCTCGCCTTTACTCATGGAGTCAACACACACCGGTAGACGTTCCCCCCAAAGTCTAGCCTCCCTCAGTGTAGACAATCCAGATCAGGCGCCACCTTTTTGGGGAGGCTGGGCTCCCTGGGGGATCTACCAGCACCTCAGAAGCACTCCTACCCCACCCCTAGCCCTTTCTGCCTGTGAAGTACAGACTGGGCATAGAACTAGTTGACCCCTGATGCATTCTGAAAGCAGGCCCAAGCCTTCCCCACTGATCCTTCTACTTTGTTGAACACAGGGTTGGTATACCCCTGAGATTCAAATGCAACACTTATGTGGGGGAGGGGAAGGGAGGGGGGACAATGGGCTTGACAACTCGGGTATGCCACAGGCCCTGCTAACCAGAGGTTGGCTGAGGTTGGAGATAGCCCCATGGAGGGACTGACTGGGAATGGAGGCAAACTGGGGTCATGATAGTGGTGGGATGGGCAGGAGGGAAGGGAGCTGTACAGATCCCCATGGGAGCTGTACAGCAGTGGAGTAGCAGGGAGGCAGTCACTGGGGAGATGAGATGGCCAGAGGCCCTTCTGCAACGCCTTCTTCCAGTACCTGCGTGGTCTCCGCCAGGGCCTAAGTCGAGCCCAAGCCTGAGGCTCCCTTCCCAATGCCCCCGCTCCTTCTCCCTGAGCCCAGCACAGGGAGAACCACTGCGTCCCCAGCAGCATGGTGCAGTGGAAACTGCCTCCACTGGTCAGGCAGGAGGCTTGGGCCCTGCCCAGGCAGGGCCTGTTGCTCACTGACAAGCTGAGGAGAATCCCATCCCCTTCCGGGCCTCAGTCTCCCAGTTGGAGAAATTAACCGAAGGGACGAATTCATCTCCCAGCACATTCCCAGTCGCATTCCAGGATTTAGATCTGCCCATGCCAAGCCCTCAGTGTCCCCCTCCCACACCTAGTGCCAGCAGGACACTATTTCAGAGACTTTCTGGGACCTTGAAGAAGGCACACCAGCTTTCCCCACTCCTGACTGTGCGACCTTGGGCAGTTCCCACCTTCACTGGGCCTCAGTGCCAAGGTCTGTAAATGATGAAAGTCAAGCCCATCTAAGGTGTGCTGAGGGCACTAAAGGTGATACTTGGCACAGATGTCTAAAGGTAGCTGGCACAGAGCCTTGAGATGCTCGTTGAGCTCCAGCTCTCTCCCAGCTTCCAGCCTCATATCCTCTCCTTCCGTCTTCACTTGCCTTCCCTAATTCATCAAGCCCAGCTGGAGCTTCACCTCCCACAGGAAGCCCGCCTGGCTTGCTCTGGCCCACAGTACTTTCCATGACCTCAGCACACATCTTAGATGGGCTTTACTTTCATCATTTGCAGATCTCTGCGCCCACCCATCCAATTCTTCACCCAACGTGCGCTGGTGGCTCCTCAGTGCCAGGCTCTGTGCCAGTGCTGGCTGCTATGGCACAGAGATGATTCCAACACTGTCACTGCCTTCTACACGTGGGGTGGGAAAGGGAAATGAGATAGGACACAATAGACTAAGACTTATGACAGACAGGGAGAAGGCCAAAAAAGAGGGAGTTTTAAGCTTGCTAAAAAGGCTTCCTGGAAGAGGTGTCTGAACTCTCTGTCCTTGAGGACAGGAAATATATATGCACAGAAAAGGGAAAGGTGGGATAGTACATGGGGAGCAGAGGGAGAGAGTGGGAGCAAAGTCCAAGGGCAGGACCCATCGGGGAGGAGTAAGCGGTAGGGGCTGAGTCCAAGGGGACCAGAGAGAAGATGGAGAGGAGACATGAGTCTGTGCCCCCACCCCACAGTGGCCTGAGAGACAGAGAAACTGCCAACATGAAGCCCGAGTGCCACAGGTTCCCGGCTCAGGGCAGAGTGGCTGTACAATGGAGTCACCAGGCATCATCTAAGCTGTCCATGTCCACAAGCCTCCCCTCCTCCACTGGCACACCTACTCCTTCCTCTGACCCTGCCTGCAGCCATGACCAGCACAACCCCCTCCTCCAAGGCATGCTTCCTTGCAGAGACTCCTTTCCCATAGGGAGTCTGTGCTCCTAGGCATAGCCCCCACCTTTTCTTCCCCAGAGGCATAGACTAGCCCCACTCCCCAGCAAGATGGTCAGAGGAGGGTCTGGAGGTCACAATCCAGTCAAGTCCCTCTCCCAAGATGGCTCCCCCCTTTCCACTAGCTGTCACCGATGCTTCCTTGGGGTGCCCCTGCCTGTCCCCCTCCCCCAATGCATCTGGGCTCAGAAAGACAGGAAAGAGAGCCAGACAGCCTGGGGTAGGCTGGAAGGGCTCTCTGGCCGTCAGTACCCGACCCTCACACCAGCAGGGGTCATCACCAGCTCAACACACTGATCCAGGCCAGGGGGCAGCAGCTGCCCCTGGAGAACTGAGATCCCAGGTCACCTGATCAGTTCCCCACCCCAGGCTCACTGGTGCCCTAGAGTGAACTGCTGGCATCACAGGAAAAACTGGGTCCAGGGTCATACTCCCCATCCTGGGGTCAGCTCCAGGGAGGGCCACGGGAAAAAAATTGGGAGGAAAGCAGCCACTGACCCCAGGATTATTTCAGCCCTTTGAGGGTGTCCTAGTGGAGAGGGTAAAACAAGAGTAACACAAAGCAAACTCGCAGGGGTGGGAGATGGGGGGGTGGTGGTGGTGGAGCAAGACTCCCCAATATGCCTGGCGTGGGAACGGGTTTCTCTGATGTGCCCTGAAGGCTGGAGTGGAGGTGTCCCTCGGGGATGCCTCAAAGTGGATGATCCTCCAGTCTGTGACAGACAGGGAGTCCCTTGTCACCCCACCAGACCTCCCACCCACATCCAGAGCATGCACACAGCTGCTCCCAGCAAGCCTCTGCCTGTCTACCGGCCAGCCCCACGCCCTGGGCACACACTCAGTGACCCCTAGGGGTGCCCCAGGGCCTCCTTCCAGAATGCCCGCCTGGAACCCAGACGCACCTACCAGCCCCTGGGAGCCCCAGCCAGCTACCCCATTCCCTCTCTCTCCACAGCCGGACGCCCCCACCTTCCAGCCGGCCGAGCTGTTGCTGTCGCCTTTATCCTTGAAGTAGGGCACGTAACGGACCATCCAGTCGTAGATCTGAGAGAGCGTGAGCCGCTTGTCCGGGGCGCTCTCGATGGCTTTGGTGATGAGGTCGGCGTAGGACAGGTTCCCCCACGCGTTCCGCCGGGAGCTCTTCGCTTTCCGCAGCGGTCCGACCTCCGCGCCCAGCGGCGGCGCTGGGGCCATCGCCGGGGCCGTCGTCCGGCGCTCCGGCCCGCAGTCCTCGGCGCCCTCAGCCACCCCTGAGCCCAGCGCTCCGTCCTCGTCGCCGGCCAAGTCGGGCTGCGGCAGGGGCCAGGTACACGAGCGCGGCCGGCTCTGCGGCGCGAAGTCCGGGTCCACGTCCACCTGATGCGCTCGCAGCTTCGTAGCCATGGTCCCGCCCGGCTCGGGCGAGGAAAAGAGGGAGGCTCCGCCGAGGGTGGGCGGGCGGCTCCGGGATCTGCGCGCCCCGGGGAGGCCCGCGGGAGGGGTCCCTGGCGGCGCCGGCTCAACCGCGGGGCGCCATGGGCCGGGGCGCGGAGACAGGGGGCTGGACGCGCTCTGAAGCCCAAAGAGAGGGAAAGATGGGGGCAGCGAGGGGGCGGCGGCCCCGGAGCCCAGCGGGCACACACCTCGCCCAGCTCCGCTCCTAGCACCTGCCGCCTGCCTGCGCCTGCAGCCACCACCGCCAC